AAGGCCTTGTTTCTGGCTGTTCCGTGAGCAACTCATTCCTAGTTTCTCATGCACGGGTTTCTCAGAAACATCCTTCCTCATGAGGAAGGCTCATCAACTGAATATAGCGACAGGCACACAGTGGACACTAAAGAAATATCCACCAAGGGCACCAACCGAGCTTCCTCCTTATGGGAACAAACCTATATCTAACCAGATACAGGCCAAGTAGTTTAAATACAAGAAACCCTCACTGCCCAGCCTGGTAACTTCCCCTTAATCCTGGAAAGAGAAAATCTTGTGCACCTTGGCGAGTTGGGCCCTGAACTTTCTGCTGCTGTTCCTCTTCTGTCTCTTGCTGGTGGAGCAGCACCAGCACTTCCTATAATACTGTGCCATGCGTATGTAATATATTAATACTTGACTTTGTTGCGCTGCAGAGGTGTCTTCTCCCAGGGGAAGAAGCTCTGCTCTAAATCTTGGTCAGAGCTGAGGTATTCCCCTTACCTTTTCCCTCTGTTTCAGTCTTTTCTTCCAGGCATGAGGAATGAGAGTAACCTATGGTGTGTCCATTCTTCCTTTTAAAGATTTCGTAAGTGTTATTATAAGAGATGTAAGAGCAGTTTTGAGACAGCATTTTGGAGGGAAGCTGTCAGCTTTTGGGGGAATGGGCAGTTAAAGAAGGCCAATGTCATTAGTAGGACAGTGCCAGAGCTTAGGGGTAGAAAGGAAGATGGCTAACTCTGGCATTAAATAGAAATGCCTATACCAGTTTGGGAGTAGGGGAACCAGGTGAAGGACGGTAATACATCCCAGTCTTGGATCATCATTCCTATCAAGATTAGCGTACACAGAGGAGGGGGAGTGGCATGGGGGAAGGGGAGACTGGGAGGTCAGAGCTGAGCACTCGTACCCAAGGGGAAGGGACCCCAGTAGATCTGGACTGACCCTTCTACACTCTTGGTCCCAGTTGGTCTGTGCTGCTTTGCCACTGCTGCTGTCTATTCACTGTCCTGCTTGCTGCCCTTGATAGCTCTCTGTCTTTCTGTGTCTTTGGCCATATAGGTGAAATCCAGGCATCCTGTCCATCCTTACATGTGCAAGGGTTACTTTATAACAAAGTCATCTTGAGTAGGGATAGTATGAAATGCTGCTGGTGGGCTGGTGAATCCAAAGGGATATGGCTTCAGTGCTTGTTGGGAGCCCTTTGGCTCCAAATATCTGACTCTCTTGAGGGAGAGACAAGCAGGTCCTATAAGTGGGTGTTTTCTTTGTATTAACTGCTTTCCTTTATGATATCTTGTGTCCTGTTTTAAAAATTAAATGATGGGGAACCAGATTAGGGCCTGTGTCAGCATCCCAGGGAGGTTCATCTGGCTCCAGTTAAATGGATTCTGGGGTTGGGGGAGCGTTTGAAGTTTGAAATAGACCCTCAGGTGGGGTTTAGTTTTATTTTTACCACTGGGCGCCATAGAAGATGCACAGGGTGGTGGTATGATTTAAACCTGCAACAAGCAGGCATGTTGAAGAGTTGAGTGATCACACTGGAGATAAAGGGTGGACGTGGGTTCACTGGGCAAGGGCTTGGGTCCATTGGAGTAAAGATAACCAGATTGGTTGAATTGGCCATGGGAGATTAAGTCACAGTCTTAAAAACAAAGCAAATAGGGCAGAGGCCAAGTTTTAGGGAGACTTCTTGGCCTCCTAGGGCTAAGTTTACTAAACCACACTGAAGCTACAGTACTTTCCAGATGGGAAAAAGTGTACACTACAGTTGAAGAGCTGAACTGTGTTAGGTTGGATGTTGACCAGGAACCTGTTAGCCCTTTGCCGGGAAGCCTTCACCCTCCAGCATCCCTGGGAGAGGGAAGTCCTCCCACATTATGCAATAATAAAATAAGCATCTGGGTCCTTGCAGCTGTCAGTTGCTCTTTCAACTCTAGGATCCATCTTTGGGCCAGAATCCTGGTCTGGGCCTAGGATGACACTGGCCTTTGAGATGCTAGAGTTGACTGCACTCTCTCCTTACCTGCAGACTATGCACAGTGCCTGGGGCGGAAGGAGGAGAGGTGGTGCGGTTTACCCTGCTGAGCCTCCCCAGCAGGAACAGTAGTAATAAATGCACTTTTCACACTAAGGTTTCTTTATTCATTCTCCTGTTAAGCCTAGATCCTCCCCTGGTAGACTGCAAATTCAAAGTCTGTGTGATCCCCAAGCCATTCTGCTGCAAATGCCCAGCAGTGAAGATGGCCTCAAACTGGGTTCCTGTCTACAGTGTGTGTGGCGGCAGCCCATGTGCCTTTACCTATTGTCAAACTTTCAAGCATTTATTTCTGTCTTTATGACTGTCATGGGGACTGAGGTTCTTCAGAGAGAGAGAGAGAGAGCGCGCGAGTGTGAACAAGCTGATGACACAGTGGTTTTACACCCACTCCCCAGACAGGGAGTATGCACATAGTTGTGAGCTGTGAGTGGTCAGTGCATTGCTGATGTTGCTGAAGGCAGGGTTCATCCCTCATCTGCGTGACACTCGCATTCAGGAGAAGCTTGTGTCGGGGAAGAGACTCGTGGCAAACTTGAAGTATTAAAAATAAGGCTGTCCCCTACAACCTTCCTAGTCACACACAGGATCCCTGTAGCCAAAACAGTATATGTTCCAGCTGCAGAGAGCAGACTGCTCTCAGCTTGCACAGCACCTTAGGGGAGGGAAGAATATATGGATAGGGAATGGGGTGGAGAAAGGATGGAAATGTTGTCATCCAGGTGGCTTTAGGGTCCTCAGGAGTAGTAGAGAAGGATGGCACTGGGGAGGTCTGATGGATGGATCTGATTTGTGTAGGAGTTCCCTGTAGATAAATTACTGATCCCCCAACTACTATCCCCAGTATGTAATGGCTAAATTAATATGTAATCAACTGCATTGTATCTAAAGCCTTAGAACTAGTCAGGTGCTCCCCCCACCCGATACCATTTCTTACCCTCTAATCCTACCTGATCTTTAACAAAGCATTAATAATTCTAAGGATAATCTCTATTTTGTTGTGCTTTTTTGTAACTGTTTTAAATAAATCAATTTGTACTGTATATTTGTACTTTTGTGAGATCCTTTTTGCTGTTTTACCATTTTAAGTCTCTGTACTTGGCTACACACAGATTGTATTTTTATTGTTAATGCTCTTCTTATGGATACCTGCATTTAACTTGTGGACTATGTAAACACAATATATATCAATATCTATATATCTATATATCTATCTATATAAACTACTAGCTTTTCCTTTTGGTGTTTGCGCCTTCTTCGTATCCCAGCCTTAGATGGTGGCCATGGGGTGGGGGATAGAAGGCCTATGCGGCAGAGCTTGAAATAGAGAGCAAATGGTGCCCATCTTCATGTGGTGGGCTGGGGGCAGATTGCACGAGCTAGTCCTGAAGCATGGTCTGTGTGTTCTGTTGTGTGTGTTTCAGGGACCCAGAAATCTACCTGTAGACTCAGATACTGTTCTAGCACAATCAGTCACAAGGACCTGTAGATGCCCTCACTGCTGGCCTTTTCTCCAATTCTTTTCTCAGGAATACTGCCAGAAATTTCTGGAATAAGTCAGCTCCAGAACTTAGCTTGCCACTAGTAAGAGGTGAAGCACTCAGATACATGATAGTTACTCATACATTTATTGAGCACTTGCTACATGCCACAAAATAGCCTAGGTGCATTATATATTAATAACAATTTGTTGCTAGTACTATTATTTTCACTTTGTGGGTGGGGAAACCAAGAGGTTTAAGTAACTTACCCAAAGTTACACAGCTATTAATTAGCAGTACAGAATGTTAAATCCAGGCACCTAATTCCTGAGTTTGCGTTAACTCACAGTTCGTTGTAAAAATTAAATGAGATAATCCACAAAAGTGCTCAGAACAATCTTTGACACATAATGAGTGCTCAACCATTTTGAAACATCCCAAGTAGGACTTCCACGTGGGCTCTGTGAGAAAAAGCCATTTGGCTCAATTAAATATTTTCTTTTAAATGTCCAGTATTTTGTAATAAGCTTATTAATATTTTTGTATTTTTAAAGACAAATATTTCGGCCTGCCTGGTGGGAATTAACCCTGGTTTGGTGGGGGGTCAGTTAACACTCTTAAATAGCCTTGAACCTGTGGAGGTCAGAGAGGAGTCCAAGTTTCCTTGTTACGATATTGGAAGAGGTCCACATTCCTGGCATAGTTATTTTTCTGGCTACAACTTAACTAGGGCACTTCCTTCTGGACTTCAAGATCTGTAATTATCTAAACTGGATACAACCTTTGGTGCAGGCTAAGGAAAGTTCTGTGCTTGTTGTGTACCATCACAGAACCTTTTTAGAAATGACCTCAGCTCGTCTCCTCCATGGTTTGGCAGCCATACATACTGCCAGAGTCGTCATTTTGCTCTGGCCTTGACCGCTACTGACCTGAGCTCTCATGGCACCTTAATTCTGGATTTTCCTCAGTGGGTTTTATTATCCTACCTTGGCTCTGAGGAATAAATAAAAAGATGGGTTTTTACCTCTTCTCTCAAACATGAGTTCCTCGGCACTATGAACCTTAATATTGCAGCTATTTCTATGAATGTATTCCTGAATGCAACTGAGTGCTGTCTAGGGTAGAATTTTTAAAAGTTTGGCAGACTGGGAAAAGTAGCTGGTACCTGGTCTAAATACGTCATCCTCTTTAGAAATGCCAGTTATGAGGAAAGGCGTCTACTTCTGAGTTTGGAAAAGGAAGCTGGGTTGAAATAGCTCTTGGGACCACAGGTGATCTTCATTAGTGTTGTGGGCATGCACCCTCACAAAGTCAGCATCGGTTCTTCCTTAATGTCATTAACTTGTGAAGGGCCAAATAAGGGATCTCTGCTGGGAGAGCCTTTGGTGAGGAGCACCCTCCCTCGGAAAAAGACAATGGCTAGACGTCCCTGCCTGAAAACTTCCATCCACGTCTCTCCTAGATTTGCTAGAATGAAATCGAGAGAAAAGCAGGAAAGGGCCAGTAAAGATAAAATTAATTTATTAGCCCTCACAACTCCGTGGGGTGGGTGTGGGCCACACTAGGGCCCCAGAGTCCTATGCTCATGCCCTGCAGCAGTGGGCTGGGGAGTCAAGGTGTCTGGAGTGCCTGCTCCCTCATCCAGAGCTGCCTTGAGCTGGGTCCCTCCTGACCCCATCATCCTGCTCCCATATGCAAGGGGTACACAGGTCCACCTGCAACAAACTCGGGCCTGCCTCCAGCAGCAAGGACAGGACCCTGGGGACGGCTGAGTGGGAAGGCAGGCAGGAGGGTGTGGTTCAGTGCAGAGAGCTGCTGTTCTGCTCTTCAAAGGCCATCTTGCCCAGGAGCTGGCTGTCCAACTCCACCCCACTCACAGGTAGCTGGAAGAAGTTCATTTCGGCTGCTAAGGCTGCCATGGCAGAAGGGTCCTGGCCAAACTGAGCTCGCAACATCATGTCCATTTTCTCCAGCCTCCTCTTGAGCCGCTTGGCCTCCCGCTCCCGGATGAGCCGGGCCTGCCGCTTCTCCGGGGTTTCATTGGCCCGCTTCAGCCTCATGGCCTCCCGATCTCGCTGCAGCCGGCGTGCCCGCTGCTCGTCTGTCTCCTGCATGCGCTGCAGGCGCTTGGCTTCTCGGTCCCTCATGCGCCTTACCTCCCGCTCCTCGGGGGTCTCATTGTCCCGCCGGCTCTTCTTGGCTGTGCGCTCTCGTTCCAGCCGCTGCAGCCGGACTTCCAAAGGCTCGTTCTGTCGACGCAGGGCCCACTTGCGTACACTGGGGGTCTGGGCTTCTAGCAGTTTCCGGTAGGCAGCACAGTTGTTGCACACAAGCAGAATTCCAGCAGGGTACACTGGAGGACTAAAGGCAATGTCCTTCCCCTCAGCACTGGAGGGGCCCTCACTGTGGGCTGGTGGTAGGGATTCCATATTAAGGACTTCAGGAAGTTTCTCACTGGAAAGCAAAAAGTTTAAATGGTTAATGCCACGGTCTAACAAGGCTCAGGTATCCAGCCCTGACTTACTCTGTCCTACCAGGCCAGTTGCTCCAAGTTCACCACTAGGGGTCAGTATGAGTGCTTGGGAGACCTCCTCTACCTTTCCACCCTTGCCCTTCTTTGGGCTAGGTTGTCTACCAAGTCTTAAAGCCCACCTGGAGTTAGGGGCTGAGCCAACCACGATAGCAAGCCACCAGAAATCAGATGAGCCCTTACAATGCGCAGTTCCATTCAAGCCGGACTGATGGTGTTTGTAGGAACTGTGCAGGGCAGTCCTCCCTGAGGCGGAGGCTGCCTTCAGGGGAGGTCCAGTCCACTGGCTCCACCTCCTCCCAGCCGACCCTGCGTTGTACACTAGCAAATGGGACTCAGACACAATTTACACAGTTCCAGTCTTCCTGGGACACAGTGGAGACTCTGTCCTCACATTAGGGTCCTCTCAGCACCCTGTAACTTCTTTCTCATGAATGGTCTTGGTCTTCCCCACATCTCTTTCTAGTTGAAGATATTCTGATTGAGGAAAGAAATAAGAATTCATTTCCCTTTGAGGATGTCTAATGGAATGGACATATTTACTAGCCTCATTACTTGTATTTACAAAGAGTCAAGAGTCAGTTCCCTTTGCATTGCCCATCTCTAACCTTCACTTCGACTTGGGAAAGCAGAACCCACACCCGGTAATTTGTTCCCAGCACAGAGGGTCAGTTGCCCGGCTAACCTGTTAAACGTGGCATGGCTAGTAAAACGGGCTCCACACACAGCACAGTTAGACCGCTGGTCCTCCGAGTGGATTAAGAGGTGGCGACCCAATGACCCGGGGGAGCTAAGGGCCCGGCCACAGACAGGACACATGTAGCTCTTGGCGCTCACCACTGCTGCAGTGTGCTGTAAAAGAGAGCCTTAATCTGTCAACTCACACCAGCTCCAGGACAATCTGTACCCACTTAGGAACTACTTTCTGGGAAATGTCCCCTTTCCTTAGTGTTAGAACAAGGACTTGCAACTATTCTCCCTATCTAGCACCTGGAAAAGTAGGAGTCTCTTGTGTTAAAGGGCCTTCAGAAGGGCAAGGCCATCCAGACCATCACTCAGATTTCATTAGTTTGAGTTCTGACTACGTACTGGGACACGTGGCTGGCTTGGGGGACAATGGGACTCCATAGCCTGAGAAGAATTCTTGCTCAGGATAATTTCTCACGGCCTGCTTGCCACATGCTGTGTAGGTACAAGTGCATTTTTTTTTTTTTTTTTTGTGCGGTACATGGGCGTCTCACTGTTGTGGCCTCTCCCATTGCGGAGCACAGGCTCCGGACACGCAGGCTCAGCGTCCATGGCTCACGGGCCCAGCCGCTCCGCGGCATGTGGGATCTTCCCGGACCGGGGCACGAACCCGCATCCCCTGCATCGGCAGGCGGACTCTTAACCACTGCGCCACCAGGGAAGCCCACAAGTGCATTTTAAAGGAGCACTGAAGGTCAAGTCTAGAAGCTGGATGGAAAGACTGATATCCAAAAGGTATTTAAATGCACTGCCTTTTCTTCAGTCTTTTAAAATCAGTCTCCTGAAGAAATGCTTCTCCTCATGAACCAATTATTTTTATGGTAAAACTCAGGCTGCCATGTGTGCTGATGCCTGTTCAATACAGAGCATAAGGCACATGTTCTGCGACTGGATCAGGAAAAAAAAAGGAAACAAAAGTTTGTCTAGTTCTGATCCCCTGGTTTACACTATCTTTCTCCAATACTTCAGAAACACCTATGTTAACTCATTTTTTCTTCTTTAAAACAAGCCCAGTTTCTATTTCACTATTTTAAATATGTCTTAAGTAATTTAGAAAAAAAATGATACTTAATTTTCACAGTGTGTCTGCCTGGGAACCCAGAACATATTCACTCAACATATCCCACTTATTCTCTACAATTTTCTGAGGATTGGAGTGGAGTCTTGGTGGAAGCAACAACCCAAGGTTCTTTCCGGGGTTGGAGGCAAAGGCTACACAAGTTGCTGGCGCCCGTGTTCTGGAGCATGCGGCTCCGCACGCCATACCTGGTACACATGCGCAATCAGCTGCCCCCGACTCCCACAGTCCAGCTGGCAGAGGGGACACTGGCAGAGTCCAAGTAAGGGGTCGGAATTCAAATTCTCCGTGACCTGCAATTTAACAAGTAGGCAATTCATGAACACAGTTTACCAGTCTCTTCCCTGCCCCTTTGAACACAGTTTACCAGTCTCTTCCCTGCCCCTACTTCTTTTAAAAGGGTATCCTGTTAAAAGGAACACGACCTCTTATCATATGTTATTATTAGGTTCCCATTGTGAGTCGAAGGAAAAAGTGATAGGGGAAAGGGAATTAAATTTGCTCCCATCTTCATTTTCTCCAAGGCTTCCTGCCATGAAGACATAGTATTACTCCAGAGAGAGCTTATCTTTTTTTTTTTTCCCCTAAGGTAAACTCTGTAGAGAGAAGATCAGCTTTCCCTACTGCCATGCCTCTTGCAGGAATCCTTAGGAAACAGTTTAGTGAAAAGATGGCACCTCAGTTAATACTTTGACTGAAATTTGCAAGCATATTCAAGAGTACACCTGAGGAAGTCAACTAATAGTTCTGCAAAGACGGATGTTCTGCTGGGAAGAAGTGGGGAGCTTTAGGAAGAAGAGCTGTGTGGGAGTGAAGTGATATGTGGGTGGAAAAGGAAAGCTGGGTGTGAAGAGAACTGTGTGTCTGAGGTTTGGGTAACTCATGTTGGGAAGGAAGACAGGCTTCATATGAAGCCCAGGAGACCCTCAGAGGCAAGAGTGTTACATGTGGAAGAGAGGCAGCTTGGGCAGAGTAGAAGGGTAAGGAGGTTCCCGGACTCAGGAGCCATTTGTCACTTGCCTCATGCTCTACCACACTGTTCCCACCAACAGGCTGTTCTGCATTTTCTAACTCTTTTTCCACTTTGACCACCCCTCCGTCTTCCTCTGATGTATGGGAAGAGACTTCATCTTGTGTGGTCTCCTCTTCATCACCCTCACTGTCACCTGGAACACACAAACTGGTCACTTGTTCTGATTTTTGCATGAATACATCTTACGTTGCTTTCCACCCTAAAGTTTGCAGCTAAAATGGAAAACATTCTCAGATCTTCCGTAATATAGTTTGTATCAGTGCTTATTTGGGTACAAATCACATTAAGTGGAAGCCAGCTATAATTGTTTATATTGCCATATACACACTAAGGAGAAAATCGGAGGCAAAACTGTATTGGAAAATGGTTATTAGGTCCTGTATATTATCATAAACACGATAACTTCTTACACAGCGTTCCCAAATATCTCACACTTTCAAATCACACCTCCTATGCACCTCACACCATGCTCATTCCAACACACCACTTCTGACTTACCAATGCTTATCACTGATTTTATTACTTACTTTTCTCCATAACCTCCCTGCACAATTTCTCCATGGTGTCACATACACTATTCTATTCTGAGACCCACTAATCTGTTCTCTCCCAACAAACCCCAAGGCATGATTACAGAAACACCAACAAGTTTTTCTTTCCTCTTATCAATAAAGGAGGCAGTAGGAAATTAGGTAAAAATGTCACTTTATAGGGAAAAAGCTCAGTACAGTGGAAAAGTTAGCACAGCAACCAACCTTGGGCATTCTGTCGTGGTATTTGACTCACAGCGTTCTTACCCTGCTAGTAACTCAGCATTCTACGTTAAATAAGTCCATTGTTTCTGTTGGTTCTTTGGATTATCTGATGGATTATTGAATGCATCAAGTGGAGGGAACAGGACATTCTTTACTTTAGGATGAAATATAATTTCTCGTGGCTAAAGAAAGAATTGATTTGTTTTAGTTCAGGGTGCAAGATGTGGCCGTGCAGAGGTCTGCCTGTGGCTAGGGGATCTGCAAGGTTTGTGTGTGCTGATTTCTTTCCTCTATTACTTATAAAATTGGAAAATAAATGATTTTTAAAAAACACAATAACATAGGGAGTTCTTTCTGAAAGGAAAAAAAAGTGCTAGTACTTTGAAGATCACAAGAGGAAGCCAAACCTAGGGAAGCTGTCAGACTCCAGTCCCATCCTAACACCACCTAGATCCTGGACTCCTGGGCCTGACTGTCAGCAAGAGAAATACAGGATAGAGTTTCACCAGGCTCTCGGCATCAGCAGTGAGACTCAGCTTTCCTAGCTAACAGTGTGCTTCTTATCTTCTCTCTACTATCCCTTACATAATTTCTAAATCTACCAAGAACTGGGCAAAACTGGTTACATTCCCTTTCTTCAAAAGAAAATCTAACCAAATCACCTGCTAGTAGATACATGTGTCTCTGTTAGATACTCACTTGGTTGGTGGACTGGATTTGGGCCCTGGAAAGATCTACAGTATGCCTTATTCTTGGTCCAAAGCTTTAGTGTGAATCCATCTCAGTAATAAGGGTTGGCACAGATTAAATCATACTATATTTTCTCACCAGCTTATTTGGAATACTTGTAGTCTAAGACAACACTGTATCAAACACTTTTTGTAATTCATCAAAAATCCAAATATATCTCTCTACTAGAAAGGTTAAAAAAAGAATAAGTATGCCATGCAGAGGGATGATGCAACTTTTCCAGAATGGAAACCTATCAGACTTCTATAGATATTGCCATTCCTACCTATTACTCAAACTGGTGGCTCCCACAGATTTTCTAGAAATATTTGGTTCACTTTTCTGTACCTGAGCAATTACTTGCTAAATTATTATTTTTATTGCTAGAGTATTAGTTTAAATAGAAAATGTAGTTCCTGGAAGGTACAGAACTCTCTGCCTCTTCTTTCTTTTACAACCCCGAACATGGAGAAAAATCAGAAATGTCAATATGAATCGACACTAATAATAACCAATATCAGATGGATCAGATGTGGAAATCATCCTAGGAAATAACACATCTCAAAGTGTATTTGTTCAAGCAAGTCACAGAACAGACAATCCATGAGGCTCAACCAGTTACCAGCCACTGTCTTTTCAATCTCTTAACCAAAGGGATCTACTCAGGACTTGGTGTGGGAAGACCTCGACATTAGCATTTTACATGCTGCATAATCTCACTGGTAAGCAAGTCCTCTTATAAAACATTAAAACTGGGTCCTCAAGCAAAACTTTCGTTAATACCACTCTTACATTTTATTAATTATGAATAAACAGATCCTAAGAGACAGGGATTTTTTTCTTTTCATTTGACCTAGCCCAGGGGCTGCTTGAGCACTCATTATTCCTATGCCCCTGTCTATCACAGTCATCACAAATCTATCTGTGTATGGCACTATGCCAAGTACTGCAGTCCTTGAGTTAAAAAAACCTGTTCTCTCTCTGGACAAACATATGCCCATACACCTTAGAACACCTTTGGGAACACTGAGGATCCACCAATCTCCTTCTTCATGTCTTCCTCCCAACCCCCATGCATAATCCCCAGAGCACACACACTCTGATAATTCTTCTCCCATTGCCCTGAGTCATTACCAGAAGGTGCAGAACTCACTGCTACTGGAGTCCTGATCTCTTAGTTGTTGGATAGCTTGTCGCTGACTGCCAAGGTCTCCAGGAAAATCAGTTTTCATCATCGCCTGGCGGGCTTGCTCTTCTAGCCCAGCAAATACTTGATCCCCTGGTGGTCACAAGGAAAAATAGTCAGGCCACCAGCTGGGCAGTACATCCCCAGGCAAGCTGGTTGGAAAGTCAGACCATTCAAAGGTAGGAGACAGGCAGGTACCCTGTGGTGGGGTCATTCATCTCCAAGTCAGCTTGTTGCCTCCAGTGGTTTCCGGGCACAGCTACTCTTCTTGGGCAACAAGCCAGATGCTCTAGAAAGCATCATTTGCTTCTCTTAAATCCTCCTAATATTGACTCCTTTTAAAGGTGATCAATTGCTACTTTACCAATTTAACATCAAAATCTCAATTCTATTTATAACCTTCCATCAGGACTGGGGAGACAGAGGCAAGTGGCAAAGTGATGGAATGAAGATGGGGCAAAAAATCTGGGCACAATCTCTGAATCTCAATGTATTAGCAATATGGTCCTGATTCTGTCTGCCTCTGACTATAAACAAGTGCTTCAAATAATCCAACTGAAACAGTATCTATGACCCCATCTTTCATCCATTCTCCTTACAAGACGTACTCTAGAAGTTCTTCCTTTACTCTCTCACATCTATTAGAATTAGCCACGAGCAAATAAAAAATAATGGACTAAAAGGAAAACAGATAATATGTGAACTCATTTCTGCTGAGGAACAAACTTCCTGAAACATGCCAACCAATTTGCAACAGGTAATATTTCATCTAGTCTCCTTGGTTTAGTGTGGTCTTTTTTCTTTTTTCTTCTTTGTATGCAGTATCCAAAAGCCCTGGACCCATCCTTGATTATGCATTTACTGTGAGGAACTCTGCCTGGGATCTGTGTGGTTATTGAAGAGTTAACATTTAAGTGCTCTTTTATTTCCAAGAGGCCAGGCATAAGGAGAAAAGAGAATTGGGTTTCTTGAGGTTTCCATTATCTCAGTCAGAGTGGAAACTACAGTCCCCATTCTCCAGCCACCAAGAGAGAATAATAAAAAGCCCTAGTGAAATGTCTGACAATAGAACAGGCGCTTTCTTAATGAAGAGAGAGAGGAAATTAAACAGGCTCAGGTTCCGAGGCTGATACAATGATGTAGGAGGAATGAACTGGTCAGTTGACCTGTACAACTAGTCCTTGGGCAGTGAAAGAACTGATGTGAAGTAGGCTTCATGTGATTCATTTAGGTATTTGTTCAGCAAATATTCATTGAACATCTACTATATGCTAAGTGCCAAATGCTAATAATAGTGATTATTTGGCACTTCCTAGATCCAGGCTCTACGTTAAGTGCATTATAGTTACTACCTCACCTTAATTCTCTGCAAAACTCTATGTGGTAGGTATTACTATCCATATTTTACTTAGGAGAAAACTAAGGTCTATGGTGGAACAAAGTATTCAGACCCCAGTCTGTCCAACCCTTAATTACCATATTTTTCAGTTGCTTTCTAGCAGAGTTGTAAACAGAATTTTAAGCGGTTCATTAGAGCAATTTTACTGAAAACAAACGCTTGTCTCTGTGTGACAAGAATAGCTCTGATCCTAGTGTGTTACCTTCCTACCATCAGAAACTGATATATACAACTCAAATACCAAAATAATGTTCTCAAGGCCAAGACTGACGGAAGGAACCATCATTTTTATGGTTCTGATTCCATGTGATGAGTTACCATGCCTGGGTTAGAGTAATATTATGGCTATTCTGACTGACACTATGAGTGGGAATAGAGGTGCTAAGAGTCCAAGTGTACTTCTAGCCACCCAGCCCTCAAGTAAACGAAAAATAACCTGCTTTAAGTCCACTTTCATAATATTCAGGATGACACACTGGATATAAATTACCGCTAGGGAGAGCAAAAAATGAATTCTGTGTTATAGCGCCTCCTCTTCCCTCTTTGCAGGAGTAAAATATTTAATTTCTCCACGTTGGTTCCTCTGTAACCACAAGACCATGGCTAACTGGAATAGTTACTGAATTCTTCTGGGTAAATGCATGTTTTTGGACCTGGTGGCTGTGGGCAGATATGACACTAACGAACAAGTTACGTACCAGCATATAATCATCAAGGGCAGACCATTCTCATCAATGACATCTCTAAAGAAACCTATCCAGAAACCAGCTAGGTTTATAACATACTAAGAATCTACACTTCCCCCCTTTCTTTTTTTTTTTTTTAATTTATTTATTTTATTTTTGGCTGTGTTGGGTCTTCATTGCTGTGCGCGGGCTTTCTCTAGTTGTGGCGAGGGGGGGCTACTCTTCGTTGCGGTGCGCGTGCTTCTCATTGTGGTGGCTTCTCTTGTTGCAGAGCATGGGCTCTAGGCGCACGGGATTCAGTAGCTGTGGCTCGCGGGTTCTACAGCACAGGCTCAGTAGTTGTGGCACTCGGGTTTCAGTAGTTGTGGTGCATGGGCTTAGTTTGCTCCGCGGCAGGTGGGATCTTCCCAGACCAGGGATCAAACCCGTGTCCCCTGCACTGGCAGGTGGATTCTTAACCACTGTGCCACCAGGGAAGTCCCCCCCCCACTTTCTTAATGGGGAATCACCACTGTATTAGAAGGACATCTATAAAGGTATGTAATTTTCAAGATCAGCTAGTAATTCAGTCTAGTCTCCATCAAACTTGAGCTAAAAATTTATTCCTATTGAAGCTGTCTAAATATTTCAGCCTTCACAGAACAGAGAAGAGTCTGTTCAATACAGCTGCCCTATCTAGGACTTCTGGGAGCATTCTCACCTAGGATAGTTGGGCTATTCCTTTTTTGGCAGTTTGGAAAGAAAAGCTATGCTCTTCTATTTTATTCCATTCCTGACTTGGGAAAAAGGCTAAGGTAAACTTTACTCCTTAGGGCTATTCTTATTTAAATACCAACATAAAGCAAAATATATAAAAACCATAAAGAGGGATTCTGGCAGACCTCACAGAAAAAGATATGTGAATGATCTCCCAGTAGTCACTATTCACCTAATCCCTAAATCTGACTGTCCAGAATTATCCTTTCATAAGAAGGTAGTGATAATTGCTAAAAATATGTCATATTAACTCAAGTATAATGTGATCCATAGAGATACTAGTGATTAAGAAGTGTTATACAGTTGCCTGCTTTTACAATGTAGCAGTATTATTTCCTTCTATCTTGAGACTGTTGGAGTAGGTTAAAAAAAAATCCTGTCTTCTAGATATTAATGTAGGGCAACCATCTTCTTTAACATGGGTATTTATTTGTCTATTAATAGTTGAGAAAAAGTCATCTAAGTTCAACAGTAAAAAGCAAGGTACTACCTCTCCTTTTTGTGGTATGAAATCAAGATACTGTTGGTCTGATTTGGCTAAGGTTTTTTAGACCAGATAAGAACAAAGCCATGCAAACAAGCCTGTAGAACAGATGAGAAGCCTGAGATGACAGTTACTGGAAGACAAAGATTTTAAAATTCTTTCTTGAGTCTTTGGTGCAGTTAAATAAATGCAATGTCTGGCTGACTTAAATTAAGTAAAGCAGCTGAGACATATTCTAAGAGAGCAGATGCCTAATTCAGAATAAAATGAGCTAGTACTGGGAGTGAGGCACTTAGGATTCCTTTTCTAGCTGACAGTCTCCGTAATCCGAGGTGCTATCACATATTGGGAACAGAACCATTTACCTCACAAGGATGCTAACAATGAATGAAGACAAAACAAACTGCACTTTTTAGAAGAGAAGGGACTTTAAAGGCTTCTTTTTCCTACTTCTCTGTAAAAGCTGAAAACTTTAATTGAAGTTGAAAGTTTTTAGTCTCATATATAATCTGAAAACAAAAGTCTCTTAAGAAACGGAAGTTTTCCTTTACTTAGTGGTTTGCTTGGTACAAAAGCACCAAATGAAAGTGTGCAAAGGATTGTATTTTCAACCTCTCTAGAAACAGTTACAGAAATTTGTATTCAGAAGGGGGTGAGATGAGAAAGGAGGGAGGGAAGAGGTCTACAGAGATTTCAACCCATATGCAGTTCCTCTGTGACTAACAATTCTGGACTTTTATTCCAAAAACTCTGCATCAAGTCTATTAAGGAACTGGGCAAAACACAAGAGTCTGCCTGGACGATTCTGGGTAAAGGAGAGATCACGACGGTAATTTAGATACAGAGACAATCCTGAGGAAAGCCAAGTATATACCAGAGCAGCCTGCCCATTGACTTCTAAAGTGGATCTGACAGATGCTGCCAGGCTACAGCAATGGGATTCTTAATATATTCTTTTAGGAGGGCTTCTTAATATATTCTTTTAGGAGCTGCCTGCTACACAATCCTCTTGTTCCCAGAAGGCAGATCTAATGGAGCTCAGCCATTACTCTGCTCAAATGCCATTGGCTTTGACATTTAAGCAAAGCTTCTGCAGACCTTCCTGCCTCCCAGACCTTGAGTTCATTCTGTTTACTTTAAATAGATGAGCAGCATTAAATTCAATACATTTGATTGGTTCTATTTCACTGCAAGGGGTTAGGAGACGCACGTGGTCTGAAGACTGAAATTACCTATTTCTACTTGGCATTATTGTGGGCAATGAGAAGATGACCTTTCAAAAAATGTAGGACCAGCTTCAGTTCCCAAATAGTAAATAAGTAGAAGGTCCTCAGAGACCAGCAAATCTCAGTGTCTTTCTTCTTTCTTAGTCCATCATGTGAGATGCCTTCACAATTCCCTGCCCAAATGCATCACTGAAAACAGCCCCTCCCTACGGGTCTGCTTTTTAGTTGCACCGAACATTTCTGTTCACGGCCCTCTTAATGGTCACCACTGCAAAGTCCCACCCGCTCCACCACAACACTACAAGCTTCACTAGCTCAACTCTAGAAACTGCATTTCTGCAGCTGCGGATATGATATTCCCTCCTTCTCTGTGGTCTGTTTGTCCATCTGTTTTCCAACTCCAGTACCAGCTCATCTTGGCTTTGACTGATTACGGTGGGAGGAGATGCAGCTATTGACTTATGCTATGTGGGCGCAGGCACTGGCCACACAAGCATTTACTAGCTTCCCTGTACCTGATCATACTATCATCCCCACCAGCTACTTTCCTCAGTCTCTTTGGACAGGTGGCTTTTAGAGGTAAATGCCCAACTCCAGTGACTGCCTTATTTGTGAACCCATCACTCTACTAAGAGTTCCTTTCCTGCCCTGCCTTCTTGGGGTCACATCTGTGTCTCTTCTCAATATCCACCTTCAACCAGAGAGGAGAAGACAATCCTTCTGAACCTCTGTGTTGTATTACCTATGGTAGAGATACTTCATTTTATCTCTCTTGAAAATCCTCACATTCAGGCCCACTAAATTTCACTGTTTTAGCAGCAGTTTCTAAATCCTTCCTGAACCACTCACCTTTATATTAGGCAGCCTTCCATATCCACCTACTCCAGAATACACTCCTAGAAGTATCCAACTTGCGCTGTCTTATAAAACTTTTCTAGGACTTGAAGAATTAATTGTATATGAAAGTTTGCTACCCTAATCTCATTTAATCTATAAAATGCTGAAGTCCTCTTAATTCCTCTGAACCTACTGTTTTCTCTCCTACTTTTGAAATTACCCAACAAAATAAAATAAGGTACATACTGTCTGGCATACGGTATGTTTTTAATAAATTTTAGTCCTCTTATATTAACTCCATGACTGATCTATCCTCTCAAATGTAGGTTTTTTTCCTTAAAAAAAACAAAAAACTTTCATATGTTATACCGCTGAATTCCCTTCAAATGTTGCTGTAGTCAGTCCTCCATAAGAACACGGAGCTATTTGTCTCTTTTTTACATTTGAATGAGGATGCTTATCTCCCCAGATCATAGGAAACTGGTTAATTGTCTCAAATCTACATAGATATATTAGTGTTAATTTAATAAGGCACTTTTGAAAACCCACTATGAGCAGTGCTAGAAGTAGAGAGGGATAGCAGGAATTATATATGGGACATAGTGTCTGCCCTCCAGAAATTTACAATTCAATTACTAAAATAAAACATATATATGAACCTGCTGAGAAATAATGCAAGGCAATAGTGCATAGCTGGTTCTTGTTACCAGTCTCTTCTTCATGTGATCCATCCCACACACTATTTTGTAGTCCCAAAACACTGTATTCTGAATGTCACTCCATTCTCCCTGCTTAAAAACCTTCAGTAGCTCCTTACAGTCAGGATGAAGCATGAACTTGGCCTGGCCTTCGGGCCTCTACAATGCAGAGTTAAACGTCTCCAACGTCATGTTCTATGGCTTCTGGACAAATGCAACTTCTGCTTCATACAAAGTCTCCTTGTCCCCTGAGCATACCACGTGCATTCCCTCTTTGTTTCTTTGCTTTCCCCTACCTGATTTTACCTTTCCTTTCCTCTTTTTTTAAAGAATCCACTTTCTACCTTCCAAGGTCCAGTTCAAGTTCATAGTCTAAGGCCTCTTCCATCAAGCATTCCCTGGCTATCTCAGTCCATGGAGCTCTCTCCCTCCTCTTCTTTTTTTTGGCCTCAGGGCATGTGGGATTTTAGTTCCCCAACTATGGATCAAACCCATGGCTCGAATCCGTGGCCCCTGCAGTGGAAGTACAGTCTTACCCACTGGACTGCAAGGGAAGTCCCTCTCCCTCCTCTTAATTTCTGTAGTACACACAGTCTGCAGCATCCCTATTTGGCACTTAGCATATATTATCTTGCTATATGCCCATCTATCTATCTATCTATCTATATATCTGTGGCTACGTTATAGTCTTATATATCTTTATATTGTTTTACGGCCTTGGCATCTAGCACAAGGCTTTGCACAGAGTAGGAATCCTATAAATGTTTGTTAATGTGAATACTAAGGATGAATCAAGAGCGCCTATTCCTAAGACAGGTTTCTAAGACCTCCTCCAGCATAGAAACACTTTAAATCCATCATGTTTGACACCTTTAACCCTTTTTTCTTCACAAATTAGTGTGAGTCGATCACCTAAATTCAGATTACACTTCCTTTCCAACCCTCAGGGTTCTCAGGTTCCAGAATAAAAAGCCCAGTACTCACAGTGAACTTTATTTGGATTTGTCTGTTTCCGACGGGACATGTTTCCCTGATCCAAGAGCTCTGGCTTTTCCCAGTTTCACGACTGGATGTTACTACCTCCTTGCAAGGTGCTGACCTACAAAAAAAAGGATAATGTTAGCACATGTCATTTTGCTCATAAATTATACACAATTAAAAGATGAGAGACTTTTTAAAATAGTTTTTGAGTATATATAGAACTCACCAGTTATAAATCATTGAACTTCTTAAAGAAAGAAAGCAATGAATAAATCTCTAGCACACTTTAAGGTCCCAAGAAGTTTCAGAGAGAATTCCAAAGGATTTAGAGAATTCCACTCTAAATCCAACTCTGGAATCCATAATACTGTTAAGTGTTCATGATCAAGCTCAGAGGGTAGAAAAGGAAGCAAAAAAACTCAGGCAACCAGCGTTAGAAGCACCATGGGCTCAAAGGGATAACCCTCATGAATTGTAAAAGGAAGCAAAGGAAGCTAAACAGGGTGGCAGCTCATATATCACATGCCCTCTGGAAGTCAAGCCCTGCAATCTGCACCAATGAGAACCTTCAGATGTTTTTTTCAAGAAGTTATCTCTCCTAGAGGTGACGAAGGCACCACATCCCTGTGAGACAAGAAATATCTCAAAACTTCTGGGCATCTGTAAATGAAACATGGGAAATAGAGCCTCTACCTAGGGATGCAGGCACAGTGCTAGGCACTGTGGATGACAGGGCACTAAAGCAAATCAGACTTCATGTTGAAGATGGGCTTTTACCAGAAGAGCCAGGTGCCATACACGTTGTTGGGTACTAATTCAATACCTCAATGTGGAACATCAACCTGACCCTGCTCACATGCTCCCGAGTGGTGGTCAAAGTTAATAACTTTAGTGCCTCTTCTCAATCCAGCCTCTTGTAGCAAAGAGTGGGAAGAACAAAGAGAAAAGGTCCCCAAATGAGAAGTGCTGCAGAGACATGCACCTGCTTCCCTGAAATAGGAGAGAACAGATACTTAAGCCTAGAGGTTCCTGGTTAGTTATAAGAAAGGCTTTCCCAGCATTAAGTGTTGTTAGAGAGTCCGAAATGGATTAGTAGTGGAAGCTGTGAATTTTCTTTGAAAGACAGAGTGAATAAACAGACATAGATTAAAAGGAGATATTCTCTTTCCTACCAAAGATGAGAACATGGATCTGGTCACCCTCTAACTTTTCTTTCAGTTCCTGCCTTCTCAAATTGTACTCACACTAATAAGCAAATATAAAATTGTAGTTTATTGCCTTAAGAGGCATTATGAGAGGCTACTTACTACCATCTACACTTTGCACTCCAGTTAGTGAAGACTCACCTCCTGTTATGCCAACTAACTCCTCTATGTAGCCAGAAAGGACCTCAGACCTGTAATCAGATCCTGCCTCCCCTTACCAAAAGAAGAAAGAAACCGCAAATGGCAAAGACAGGCCTCCACAGGAAGTGGCAAAGGAAGCAGCTTTCAGGCAGTCTTCTATCATATCTGCATATCAAACACAGTTCTTTTTCAGACCTTTAATTAAAAAAAAAAAAAAAACTCCAAATGTATACAGTAAAAATCAATCTTAAGGTAGTATGTTGAGTGCTAATGCTAATGAAACGTGTTCTCTACGTTTTGTTTGTATAGATCATTTCTTTCTAATCAAGTAGTTATTTTACAAATTGAAGCAGTGAATGAATATTACACTTTGGATCTTTTCCTATAAGTCTGTGGAATCACAAAGTGGAAAGTTGAATGAAATGCAGGTTGCCTATCATTTTTTTTTCTAAAATTTGCAGAGCTATAGCTCTCTATTGTATAAGGAAGAAAATGAAACCTTAACTAATCTTTAAATTTTCTTCCTATTAAGATCAGAAATTGAAACTGTGAGATAAAGGTAATAAAGATCCTTCTGAATGAAGGCCAAATAATATGACACAGGCTCTGTTCAGATCATCTTGGTGAGGCAACAGCTCAATACTAAAGCTACAAGTCAGAAACAGAAATCAACATCTGGCATATTTAAAGCACCAGTGTCCACCGCATCTCACAATCCTCCTAGTGGCCAAATGGGGAACCAACCAGATGGTACCCAATGGGACTTCACACCTGAGGGATTAAGGGGAAAACATAAGCAGATACTCTTCCTCCCTCAAAAAAAGAAAGCCTGTGGGGTCGTGGACTCTTGAAATTAAGTAAGTTAATTAATTATGTAATTAATTAACAATAAAAAACTAGCACTAGCAGATAACATTCTTGACTGCACAACAAGATCTCAGAGGTTAAACAATTGTTTTATAGCAGTAAAAGCTAATAAAATCCATAGACACATTGCCGTAAAGTTCACTAACTCAGTTTTACTTTCAACACTGCCTCAGTCCCCAAGCCTGAATCTGAAACCGATACAAAAATGTAAATGGATAGCCTGAACATCACCATCTGGAAGAAAAACAGGATGGGAAGAAAGGTAACCGGTGAGATTCAGGTCTACAAGGGATTCTATTTAAAAAGGGAGGCAGTTTTGTCCATCTTTTGTTTTTTTCGGTACGTGGGCCTCTCACTGTTGTGGCCTCTCCCGTTGCGGAGCACAGGCTCCGGACGCGCAGGCTCAGCGGCCATGGCTCACGTGCCTAGCCGCTCCGCAGCATGTGGGATCTTCCCGGACCGGGGTACGAACCCGTGTCCCCTGCATTGGCAGGCGGACTCTCAACCACTGCGCCACCAGAGAAACCCAGTTTTGTCCATCTTTAGAATGAGGTTAAGAATACTTGGGAGCGGGGCCAACGTCTCCCCTTAACACTGTCCCTGCTCTCCCACAGGTGTTAGGTTGCAGCTTCCAGGACACACCACAGACTTTAGCAAGAAAACACGGGTGAAATCCAAGCTTTAAGAAAAGAGGGTGCACTCCCACCTCCAGTTCTGGTGCAGTTCCCACGGAGCAAAGTAAACTCGCCTGAATCCCCGGTATCTGTATCTGCCAAAAAGGAGAGGACAAGAAAGCTGGTCACGTAGCCGCCTCACAGTTCACCCTGTTCCCGGGTGTATAACCAGCCGAGACGGTCCCTCTGGCTTCCTGAAGCATGAGCACAGGTAGATTCCCGGGAATTATCAGACAAGAGCCAGAGGTCTTCCGAGGCGGCTCAGACAAACCCTCAGACAATACAGTCTTCTCAGAAATCTAAATTTAGAAGCCCTGCGAGAAGGCGACTCGGGACTGACACCCGGGTCGGCGCCCCCACGCCCATCCTCCCCCTCCCCCAGCTCCAGCCCAGCCTGTCAGACGCCCGGGCCGTCCCGGCGCTGCCCGGCTGAGCCCGATCTGGGCCCACGCGGGGAGGGCGGCGACGCGGACGCCCCTCCCGCGCCCGAGACCTCCAGAGGGACGGAAAGTGGAACAGCCGCTATGGGGAGCCAGCCCGGTCCGGCCTCGTCGCGGGAACCCGGGTCAGGGGGAGGGTCAGAGCCAAGGCGGCCCCCGCCCCCCAGGCCAGAGCGAGCCCCTGTTCCCCTCCCCAGACACAGACTGACAAAAGGACCGACAGCCGGCGACCAAGGGAGGGGGCGAGGAGCCCCTGCATCCTCAGCCTGGTCCCGGAGGGAAAGAGTCGGGGGTCTTTTTACCCGGCGCCTCGGCGCTCCGCGGCGCTCCGGGTCCCTGGGCCCCGCCTCCGGACAGACGGACCCCCGGACAATGGGCCCTGGGCCGCAGCTCGGGCCGGCCGGGCCGGGGCTTTCCTGGACTGGGCCCCGGCTGGCAGAGGGCAGCTCCGGGCCGAGCTGGTGGCGGGGAGCCGAGGGGCGGCGCTGCAGACGGACAAAGCCAAAAGCAGACAGACAGACGGAGGGGGAAAAGATGGCGACGCGGGCGGCGGGGGCGCGCTGCTCGCGCACCCGCAGCGAGTGGGGCGCGTGCACGAGTCTCTCCTAGCCCCCCTCCCCCCTTCGCAAGCTTCGTCCCCCTCCCCGCTCCCCAGGCGCGCGCCCGGAGGCATGGGCGGGGCTTAAGGGGAGAGGGGGTCCGGGGAGGCAGGACTTAAGGGAGCATCCAATCACAGACATTCGAGAGGGGCCTCGCCTCGGTTCTCGCGCCATGGAGACCACCGAGCCTCGCACCCTCCTAGGTCTTTTTCTGGTCCTGTCAACTCCTCAGCTCCCCTATGCTCTCCTGAACCTTTAAACTCTACCCTGACGGTCAGCTCTGATCCTGGTTTCCTACCCCACCTTCGAGTTCAGCCACAAAAGCCCACATTCCCCAACCACAGCTCCACCGCAGGCTCCCCCTCTCCTTAGCCCAACCTCTTCCCCTTCCCCCAACCCAAACCCTCGTCCCTTCATTTCCCCACATCTCACGGTTTCTTCGGTCCCCACGGCGTTTAATGTGACCGAGATCTAGGGGCCACGGACCTTTGTGGGAGGGGCTAAGTTCGGCTGTCAGAACCTCAGAGGAGAAAAATCTTTAGCTTCGTTTTAGACATTTAAGTCTCCAACATGATTCTCAACTAATAAAACAACAGTAGCTGTAGCCCCTGGGGCATAGAATTAATTTAGAGAAGGGTAACTTGTGGCACTGTTGCCACTTAAGGGGCATTTGGGGCAATTGAAAGTGGTTAGACTCACTTCCTAATAAAACACCTCCTTCCCCTCTCATTGTCCCTTTCTATTTCCTCACCGCTTTCCTTCCTTTCCTCTAATTCTCTCGTCTTGTAGAATGCCTAAGCCTGCCTTTGACATAGCTCACTTGGAGAAGTAGGGCATGCGGTGGAAAGATGGGATCTGACATTAGAAGATCCAGCTTTGAGTCTGCAGCTGACCAGCCTGGTTACTTTGGGCAAGTCACTTCCCTATTCTGAATCCCTGCTTCCTAGAAATGTAAAATGGTTAATAATGTAATAATTCCTGGTCTCTACTCTCATAGGGTTGTTGTGCTGATTAAGTAAAATGAATATATGAAAGAGTTATGTAAACATCCCTTATGATCTCTGGCCCCACAAAGGTGGAGCTAATGAGGATGCTGATCATTGCTTATAAAGCAACAAGTCTTGGTATTTGCATAAAGCACTCTTGCAAAATGTCCTTTCCAGAAATCTCTAACGAGATGATATCATTGTCTGCATCTTGTGTTTAATGTGAGAGGATCTTGGTCCTTCACAATTCTGTGGTAAATGGCTCATTCATTCATTCATTCTTTGTGGCTGGGATATGAGGTAGGAATTATTCTTTTTTTAATAAATTTATTTTATTTATTTACTTTTGGCTGCATTGGGTCTTCATTGCTGTGCACGGGCTTTCCCTAGTTGCGGCGAGCGCGGGCTACTCTTTGTTGCAGTGCGCAGGCTTCTCACTGCTGTGGCTTCTCTTGTTGTCAAGCACGGGCTCTAGGCGCACGGGCTTCAGTAGTTGTGGCTCGCGGGCTCTAGAGTGCAGGCCCAGTAGTTGTGGCGCACTGGCCTAGCCACTCCGTGGCATGTGGGATCCTCCCGGACCAGGTCTCTAACCCGTGTCCCCTGCATTGGCAGGTGGATTCTCAACCACTGCACCACCAGGGAAGCCCAAGGTAGGAATTATTATTGTTTAACTTCAGTTAAGGAAACTTTTAAATTTCATTTAAAATTTTAATTCTTGGGTAGGTAGCCAGAAAATGGAATATTCTCAACCAGTCAGAAGGTTTTTAGTCAGTGTAAGAATGCAAGCTGGAATAAGCACTGGCTTTTGTACTTAACAGTAATTCTTGATGAGTTTAGACTGAGGGATACAAAGATGGCTTTATTATGTCACTTTAAAGTTGATGTAGTTGACATTTTCAACATGACAATAGCTAGCAGGTAAAGTATTAGGAGAGAGCCTCCAGTGAAATTTCTTGGCTTCATCAAATAATAATGTGTAATACTGGGCGTCTTGTTTCATCTCCTTGAGCTGCAAATAAAATGGGATCATAATAATGCTATCCTTTAAAACCTTTATGTGTCCTAGAAATGCCTCTGAGGTGTTGTGATTCAGGGTTATAGTCAAATAAGGCAAAAATTATTAAATAAGGAATTAGTTTATTTTTGCTCTCACCTAAACTTGTTCTGGAGCTACAAGACTTTTTCTTTAATCATGGATTTTTTTCAGCTTAATTTTTTATTTCTACTTTTCCGGTCTACTCATGGATTTATGCAATTATTTTGCCATTTTAAGTATCTTAACTTTCCCTTGAAATATCCTCTGGTTTATATTTATTGGCTCCTACCAAGACCCTGTTAGGGCTTTACATTACAACAGTATTGGTAGGGTAATTTAAAGAGCTCCGCTTAAAAATTTATTATGATATAATTCACTTACCATGAAATTCACCCTTTTTTGTTTTTTTGGGTTTTTTTGCAGTACGTGGGCCTCTCACTGTTGTGGCCTCTCCCGTTGCAGAGCACAGGCTCCGGACGCGCAGGCTCAGCAGCCGTGGCTCACGGGCCTAGCCGCTCCATGGCATGTGGGATCTTGCCGGACCGGGGCACGAATCCGTGTCCCCTACGTCGGCAGGCGGACTCTCAACCACTGCGCCACCAGGGAAGCCCATAAACTTTTGAGCTTATATTTAGAATCTAGAGTTATAAGTTTTCATTTCTTTGAATTCATTTAAGGAAAAATTATGTTTTCTAGGATGATTGCAATCATGATAAATGTCATGAAAAAAATCTGATTTGAGAACTCTCTTTTGATCTGATATGTGAACCCATATCAGATCAAATCACAGTTTATAACTGTGATTTAATGCATTTTTCTTTTTATTTGTTGATAAATTCAATATACACAAATTGAAGGTAAAACAGGATGCAAATTATTATGGAAATATGGACGTATGAAAATTATATCATGTCAAGTCTCAAGATCTGGGTTCAAGATCTGATCCTGGCATTTATTGCTGTTGATCTTGGATTGCTCACTTTACAGCTCTAAGCTTCACTTTCTTCCTGTAAAAACTAATAGACATTTCTGACCTACAGCTGCTTCACAGGAATGTTGTGAGCCTCAGACTGAGGTCATGTGCTTGTAGGTGCTGTAAATTGCAAAATGCCATAGAGATGTTTAATATTTGTATATAGTCCTAATTATTGATGTTAATAAGTTCTCTGAGGAATCATTTCATAGGTGCTCTAAAAACTGCTCTTGATTTTTTTCTAGGCCTTAGGAAGATATCCAGAGAAGTTTCTATTTCGTTCTATAATTTCTAGCCTAAAAGCTTTCTGAGACTTTCCCCTTTCTAAATGTTAGTACTTTAAAAAAAAAAAAAAACGGCAAATTACTCAATGCCCATCATCTTTCCCTTCTCTCTCACACAATGTGTAATACTTTCTTCTATTGCCGGAGTCAGCAAACTTTTTCTGTAAAGGGTCTAATAGCAAATATTTGGCCCTTTACAAATAGGCTTTGTGGGCAATATAAGGGTTCTGTCACATGTTCTTCCCTTTTTTGGTTTTGTTTCTTTACAACCTGTTAACAATGTAAAAAAAAACATTCTTATCTGGAAGGGCTGTACAAAAACAGGCCTGACTAATTTTGTCCTACAGGCTTGTAAGACTCTTATATTATTGGGTTTAAGTATTATATCAGGTTTTAGTTACAGCCACTAGTTATAATTGTGTACATGAAAAAGAGTTACTGGTTAGTTAACCAAAGAATGTTTTGTGTTAATTTTTATCCTAAGAGCAAAACAGGATTTTCAAGTGAAACAGTGTGAGTCAGTTTGTTTCTTTGGATTATGTTTAGCTTTGATTGAAACTGGTCTATTCAGCCAGGGATAGAGATAACTGTTTTGAATAATTGGCTGGTTGTGGTACAATTCACATTGATATGTTATCGGATCTAAATAACTAGATGGGACAGGACACAGGTGATGATTGCTGAATCCAAGAAACTACTGAGTTGGAAGCAATTTTTCTAAATGAATCATGTCATTTTTAGCAAGACATGGACTCAATGACACTTTTCACTCATCTTTACTTTCATGGTTTGTTCAAGGGTGCAATAATGTCAAGGATTCCAAAAGTTATCTAAACACACTGTGTTACTGAGGGCATGGGGAAATAGAAACTCTCATACATTGGTGGTGGTGGTGTAAAACAATACTTCCTCGTTGTAGGGTGATTCGGCAATATCTATCAGCATTAAAGACATACCTACCCTGTCACCAGTTCTTCTGCTTCTAGGAATTTATACCCAACTCGTACAATCCATATAGGCAAATATCTAGTCATTGCAGCATTGTTATATAGGCAAAATAC